CACTCACACACAGACGCAATCTCCAACCACATACACAGATATTTTTTAAACTCATTTCAGTTTATTTCTCACCATAAAATGTTTTTTAACATTTGAACTAATGAAAGAAAACTGAAAAAAGACTGCAAGAAATTACTACCTCTTAAAAATTAATCTTAACAGTAATTATTTAAGTGTAAATTTTTTTAACTTTGTGAAAATATTCAACATTGCTTCAATAAAACTTAAAAAAGGTATTTCTGTGCAAAGTGGGTTTTTAAACATGAACAACACCCTGAGAGGAAAAAAAATAAAGGTTTGTTGATTAAGAATAAATCTCCATCAAAAACCTGTCCAGACCATTATGCTAACATCTGAGCATCCCCCCCTCCACCTCCCCTCCATTCAGTCAAGCCGCACCCCACCTGCAATGGCACTGCGCCCCACACTTTGGGAAACACTGGTTTAATCAGAACTGATTAAATAATTATCTGACCTGCTCGTTTAGTTCAGTGTTTATATCTGAACCTGCCTCTGACCGGGATGCTCCAGTGAAGCTTTTTATTTTTGGAACAAAAGAACGAGCTGGAAATAAAGTATCGACTGAGTAACTTTATGATCGATACGTTCCAAGACCCAGGCTGGATGTTACTATCTATTTGGAAAATGAAAAGTAAAAAGATGAAGCAACTGGACTTGTGTTTTGGAGCTGTAAACACATGGAGCTGCAGATTTAAACAGCGTGACTTGAGGTTRRWGTCTTATCGATCCTTCACCCCCACCTCACTGATGAAAAAGTCAGATGGAATGTGACATGAGCGTTCACACTGCAGTCGCTTGGAAAACATCAGATATGTATCTGATTTAGAACCACATACTGAAACGGCCTGGGTTGGATTTGAAAAAAATCAGATTTGTTGCATTCAGACTGTTCAGACTGTTCAGATTAGGGTCGCATTTGCCTGCAGTGTGAACATAGCCTGTCATTTATTTCCAGCATCACCTCCTACTTTCTGTCAGATGTCAGACCAGTTCTATGTTGGACAGACAGACACCCGAAAGCAGCTGAGCGGCTGTGGGAAACAGATAATTTTTTATTGCTCAGTAAATATCTGCATGATTTATTTGTTCAAACTTGCAACAATTTCCATGAAAAAAAAGAACCATCCATCCATTCATTCTTTATTTTATGAGGAAGGTCCCACTGAAATAAATCATCACCACCAGGACTGTGATCTGTCACCCGAATCAGAAACCCTGGCTGAATGCAGAGGTGCGCTCTCTGCTGAAAGCCAGGGATGCTGCCTTTAGGTCTGGTGACCAACAGGAGCTCAGGAGGGCTAGAAGAGAGCTGACTGCAGGAATAAAGAGGGCAAAGGCTTCATATGCTCAGAAAATCCAGGGTCACTTCACCTCCAAAGACCCACAAAGCATGTGGAAGGGCATCAAGTGCATCACTGACTACAAAACCAGTGCTGCACAATGCACTACAGACCCCACTCTGCCTGAAGCCCTCAACGACTTCTACGCACGCTTTGAGGACCATGACACCCCACCCAGCACCAGACTTACCCCCCCACCTGGAGAGGTGCCACTCAGTGTGACGCCAGCAGAAGTGAGGAGGACCCTGAAAAGGATCAACCCACGRAAAGCTGCTGGCCCGGACAACATCCCCGGACGGGTTCTGAAGGACTGTGCTGATCAGCTTTGTGAGGTCCTGGCAGACATTTATAATGTATCCCTTTTTCAAGYGGCTGTTCCCGCCTGCCTGAAGACCGCGACCATCATCCCGGTCCCAAAGACATCCACAGTGACGGGTCTGAATGACTATCGGCCAATAGCCCTCACGCCGATAGTCA